GTTAACGTTAACGTAACGTTAACGTAACGTTAACGTTAACGTTAACGTTAACGTTAACGTTAACGTTAACGTTAACGTTAACGTTAACGTTAACGTAACGTTAACGTAACGTAACGTTAACGTTACGTAACGTAACGTAACGTAACTAACGTAACGTAACTAACGTAACGTAACTACTAACTAACTACTACTAACTACTACTACTACTACTACACACACACACACACACACACACACACACACACACACACACACACACACACACACACACACACACACACACACACACACACACACACACAATGCTGCTGCCTCAGAAAAACTCATTTTGAGATGGACAGATTTAGATTTAAATATAGATTTACATAGACAAATAGATCCTAAGTGATTTAGTTTGTTTTATTTTGGCCCATCCCTACACTAGCTATTTATAACACGCTTATATTAAAAACTATAAAAGGATATAGATATATGATTATAACGCAGATTTTTAAAATATGTCTTTTTGTTAGTTTCCTTTGTTAATTATTTAGTAAAAACAGAAAGACTTGGAGGATACGACTAATGTCATACCCTATGTTTCTTAGTGTCAACAAATCCTATGACAAACAAATGAAAATCTGGGTCACAAATATAAGGCTAAATCATTTCTTTAAACTGCTAGACACTTGTTTTTATCAAACATACTTGACTGGGAGTAAGGTTTGCATTTTGTTTGACTAATTTTAGTTAGGGATTTATACACTTGGTGCTCTAGTGAGCAGTGTTTTTTGGGATAGACTCACACTATAAACCAACCATGCTCATCGTAATGAAAGAACAGGGTCAGTGCAATGATATGCACCATTTGTGTGGGTTTTTTTGGGAAATAAATAAGCTATACCAGGCTTTGGATACACAGACAGTAGTGGGACTAATGTGTTCCTGTTTTTACATGGGATGTGTTGACAATAATTAAAAACGTAGAATTCCCCTCGCTCCCAAAAACGACTATTAACAAGGGGCATTACATACATCTATTACAAACACCTCATACAAGTCATTACAACAGCAAACTGCTTGTGTGACTACCGAGCTGTCACGTTTTAAATGCACTTGCAGCCGCACGTTCCTGCCGTTCGAGGCAGTTGAACTTGCACGTTTAGCCGCTCTGACCTCTGCTCAGAGGCAATTTCTGTGCCATGTATTTTAATATATGTAAGTTATTCACATGTAGCTGGAGAGCTGACCTGCCTGGCTGTCTGAGCTGAGAGGGACCAGGTACAGTCGGGCTGGATGCAGAGCTCCCATCAGTCACCGCTGACAGGAACATGTGATGGCCTGCCAGATATCACTGCTGCTGACAGTCCTGGAGGTAGAACTACACACCACTCCACAGCGAGCTTTAAGAAGGTTGTGTGTTTGTGTGTGTTTTGCTGTGACGCTTCAAAAACAAGAGTTTTTTTTTCTTTTCTTAAACACTGGGGCTTTTGCCTGAAGTGCCCTGAAGGCTTTCACATGTAGAGTCGGCTACATATTAAGCCAAAGTCTGGGCCCTTTGCCCAGGCTTTTTACACTTGCATACACCCCTCCACCCACAATCCTTTGTGTACCTCAATACTTCTGAAAAAACTGTTAATTATAGAGCCTCAAAGAGAAATAGCTTTCTCACAGATTTGGAGAAAAACTGATCAGAAAGTAAAGCAGGGGTATGAGAAGCACTCCGACCCAATACCAACATATATAAATACTTCATTCAAGTGAAAGTCCTGCATTAAAACACTGCTGCATAGTGAGTACTATTACATTTGACACTGAAAGTATATTATCTGAAATCTTACATAAACTTATCATAAGCATTATATGATTATTAATAAAATGTTTAAGCAGAATGTAAATGATGGACGTGGTCAAGGTGGATAACATTTAAAACTAATTGACAAATTACTATTATTTAATAACTTGATTATATATTTTGTATGCTAAATTTGTACCATTCTCCCTTAAGGTGCCATTTATTTAGGCTTTGTAACAGATTGTTTTATTAATGATAAATAAATAATTCACAAATGTTAAACAAATGAGTTAAGCCATTAATTAAAATATTGTCTGTGTCGCCAGGTTGTAAAACAAAGTAGTTACTTTTGCTTTGAGAAAAATAAATTAGATTAAAACATATGACTTGATTAACATAATATTCTCTAAAGTAGAGATTATACATTAAATGGAAATGCTGAGTAAGGCAGAAGAAATGTGTATAAAAGTATAGTTGTGTAATTAATGACTTTCAAATACTAAAAAAAGTTGGCAGAGTTTAAAAATTAAAAGGAGGGACATACAGAATCTTAAAATGCAATTGAGTAAATTAAAATATGTCCTGAAGAATAGCAGATGTTGGGACTAAAATCAAATCAATTTACGAAAAAACAAAGGATCTTATGATGTCACTGCTAAACAGATGTGTTATGTTAATCATTTCCTTACTTTCATAATGAACCAGAGCGCTGCAAAATTAAGACATTTGCAGTTCATTTACCTACTATGCTACTGCAAATAAAAAGCACGAGTGATTCGGCTTTGTTTACACCACAAGGCATTAGCAGTTAGAGGAGATAAAGATGCCGGCTGTGTCATGCGATTGGCTCCATGTGGAAGTAAAGTAGAGAACCGCTGGAGCGAGATAGCAGGGTTTCACAACTGCAGGGAAGGAGAAATGGATCCTAACTCTGCAAACGACCACAGAATACGAGGGTGCAGGTGGCGAGGCTCAGACTAGCCCCTGAATGTCTACTTGATTGATTTCAGGCCCCAGCATTGAGAAACAATTGCATATTCATACATCAATTAAAGTGTTCCCCCGCTAGTGCCTCCATAATTCAACCTGGCACTGAGTGAAGAGTCATCCTTATGAAGCAACTTCAGACCAGCGCGGGGGAAAATGTTTCAACATGTTTTCTGTATGTGCGTTCCTTATGGCCCCTTTCACTGAGAACGGACATCTTATAATTGCTTAATTCTTCTTCTTCTCTTAAATCCTTTTTTCTTTCAGCTTGGCGTCTTTATATCTTGCCTCTAAACAAAGCTGCACAGTGTGAAACCGTGCTACTTAACTCATTTCACATGCAGCAATAAAACTGTGCACTTCTGCCGGTGAGTCACCTGTAAACGAGTGGACCAAGCACAGGACCTGGGAAAATCATTCAACCGGGGCGTTTAGTGACACCTCGACTGCAGACCTCGCTGCACCAGAACACATTTAGATGTTCTGATCGGCTGGACCAGGATATTGGGGTCATCCAGTCGATCTGATTGGCTGAGCCGGGAGACTGAGGTCATGCTGTGAAGTGGAGAGGAAATAAGCTTTTTCTTTGAGTCAGAGCACCTGAGTAGGGAGCACTGCTTTGAAAATGTGCTGCTAATTACTGTCAGGGTCTTTACACTCGGTATTTGTTGATGTTCTGAATTGTTTTTGTTGTTAATAAATCCCATTAAAAAGACCAACAGCAACAATGGCAATCTATCTAACACTACTTTCTGACTTTCCTAGCCTGTCTGGAGCCCATTTGTTCCTATGATAATTTAAGAAAGCAGGTACAAATATTTCAATAAATGTTACTACAACAAGTGTAAACAGTGAATTTTCAGCTACAGATTTGGAGCGCGAGTGAGCATTTACAGGAGCAGAATGCTGTATTGTAAGTGTGGTTTAAAATAAACTACAATGCCCAGGTTGTTATACAGTAATAGGGCGGTATGGCATATAATATCTTATAATAAGAAGGGCGGTGGTGGCAAAGTCGATAGGGACTTGGCTTGGCAACTGGAAGGTCACCAGTTCAAGTCCCGGCAAGACCAAGTGCTACCGAGGTGTCTCTGAGCAAGGCACCGTTCCCTACACTGCTCCTAACACTAGGATGGGTCAAATGCAGAGAAACAATTTCCCCACGGGGATTAATAAAGTATATCAAAAAATAATAATAATAATAATAAGGAAAATGTAACAGTACAAGAGTTGTGTTGCTCATTTGTGCGTTTTAGACGAGAACAAGTCCACGGCACAGGGGAATAAGCTACATCACGCTTAGTCTAGGCAACACTTGTTATAAGGGTTGATTCATCACTAGCAAGTATATAACTTGACTTATCATTTAAGTAGCATAACAAAAACATTAATTCAAGTGGTAAACACAATGGCAGAGGTTTATGATTATACTTACTTATGTTCTGTCGTCATACTAATTGATAGTTTTAAGTTACAAATTCAAAGTCACCTAGTAACCAGGTTTGATATTTTGATTCATTTAAATTTACTTCCTAGAAAAAGTTTTCCACTAACATTAAGAAAACAAATGGTGGCTGAAAGTCAGATATTTGTAAAGTATGATCAGCTGTAACTATGCAAATAGACTGGACCACATGGATATCCAAGTATACACAAAAGCTTGAAGTTTAACAACACAAAAACCTTTGGCCATATGGAGTAAATGCCCAAAACTTGAAACTAAAAGGTGTTATTTGGATGGAACTTCTTCTAGTTGGAATTTTCTTTTTTTAAATCAAACTATACCAAGAAGACCGTGATCATTTTCACTAAACCGTAACTAAACCACGCTAATTTAAAAACGCACTAATCCTTCAGCAATAAGGCTATTAAAAAAAGACTACAAGTACAATATCCTGGGGCCCCCTGTCAAACGCACACACACACACACACACACACACACACACACACACACACACACACACACACACACACACACACACACACACACACACACACACACACACACACACACACACACACACACACACACACACACACACACA